TTCTAGTTATGGCGCTGAATGGCAGCCGTGGCAATGAGCAGTGTCTAGTCAGTGGTGCTGGATGGCAGCCGTGACAACAAACAGCTTCTAGTCAGTGATGCTGGATGGCAGCCGTGGCAAGGAACAGTGTCTAGTCAATGGTGCTAGGTGGCAGCCGTGACAAGGAACAGCTTCTAGTTGTTGTGCTGGATGGCAGTCGTGGCAATGAACAGTGTCTAGTCAGTGATGTTGGATGGCAGCGGTGGCAAGGAACAGCTTCAAGTTGTGTCGCCTGTCATGGTATTCTTTCAGATTTGACGAAACAACACAGTTATTTGCATACTATTCACAACAAATTAAAGATCTCCCGACAGTTGAAAATATTATAATATCGTGGCGCTCTGTCGCCAACCATATTTCACTTGTTCTTAGCGCTTATTACAGATACCAAGAACTATATAAGTGACAAATGTGCCGCAGTGCTATACCTAATTATTATTGTTGTCAAATTGAAATTCAAATGTATCATTGTTCTCTATTATATATTATAATAGTTGATACTCCCTGAGAACATGGGAGCCACGGTGGCTGGGTGGTTAAGACGCTGGCTCGCTAGCCTGGAGGTCGTTTGTTCGATCCCTGCATTGGCCGAGAAAGTTCATCCGGATTTTCCGACGTGGTTTCCCCTTGTCAGTGGTGCAGAACGGAGGGCCTGACAAGGACAGCTGTCTAGTCCTTCGGATGATACGAAAAACCGAGGTCCCGTGTATACATTGGAATGCACGTTGGAATTCGATATAAGAGTAGGCGATAGTGCCGCTGCCCGGGAAAAATTTCCCTCATAGCACACTGTGTGGCGTATGCCCGTCTTCATTAGCCCAGTATAGGAGCAGAACGGTAGGACGTTAAACCCCATTTCATTTCATTTCCCTGAGAACATCCCGTCTTCATTAGCCCAGTCAGAGCAGAACAGTAGGACCTTAAACCCCATTTCATTTCATGTCCCTAAGAGTATAGTATCCGCTATGGATGAAACAATATCTGGCATGCTGTGTCCGTGTACCATATCAACCAGAGAATCGCATTAATAAGGACCGTCACGATAGTCCATTGCTAGTTATCTCCCTTCATGTAGAAATAGAGATAAACCCGACTCGCGTCGGAAATTATTTTAGCAATAAGTTTATATCTATTGTTTTTATGGTCGACAAATCTTTCACGGGGGGGGGGGGGGCGAAACGTTTTGCAGTAGCTTCTCCCAACCACCTGCGCCCCCTAGCTACGGGCCTGCCGCGGTTATAGGACCGGATGTGGTTCCAGAACTGCACACGCTAAACAACGGGATCTGTTTATGGATTGGTTGATATTATCACGTGATCTAGGCAAGCAACAACAAAACATAGATAAAACCCGAACCCTAACCACACCGTAGATATTAAAACCCCGCGGAAACCATAGCCGTCACCCAAATATTCAACACAATTTTAATGTTGAAAATTCAGCAACGACTTTCTCTTGCATGGAGTCGGCCATTTCGGAAGACGTAAAATAAACTGCGCGATAAACACAACCAATCAGAAGTCGTGATCGGTAATAGCCTAAAAATATATGTTAACGAGTACGTCCTTCACAGTTCATATTCATCTTTAAACTTTTGGAGATGTTCTATGGATGGATATGGTCTTATGAGATGTATTTAAGGCACCATGGATATCGTCTGATAGGTTACAGATGTGTATTGGATGGAATCGTGTGTATTGTTAAACCGTTATGATCCATGTCCACTTTTTGAACTAGTAACCTTACATCAAATAAAATGGAAGCCAGTTCCACTGATCGTAGTTAATGAAATGAAATGAACTGGGGTTTAACGTCCTACTGTTTTGCTCCGAACTGGGCTAATGAAGACGGGTATACGCCATACAGTGTGCTATGAGGGGAAATTTTGCCCGGACGGCGGCACTACGGCCTACTCTTATATCGAATTCCAACTGTCAAGGGACCTTTAACGTGCACGCCAATGTGTACACGGGACCTCGGTTTTTCGTCCCATCCGAACGACTATACAGCTTTCCTTGTCAGCCCCTCCGTCCTGCATCACTGACAAGGGAGAACCACGCCGGAAAATCTGGATGAACTTTCTCGGCCAATGCAAGGATCGAACACCCGACCTCCAGGCTAGCGAGCCTGATCGTAGTAAGATTTATAGATTATTCTGTTGTAATACTTAAATCTCGTATGTATCTAAGTTAATTATTGTTCCATTTCATAATTATTATCTAGTATGTAATATTTATTTGACTTGTCATTCATAACATGCTTTGGAAATCCTTACAAGGCACCGCTGACCGCGTGCAGATGAGCGACAGGTAGTAGGCGTGGTTAGGCTGTCACGTGACTAATATGCATATAAAAGTAACCTTCGTTTGGTCGGGAAATGAATATTGTCTAGGAAAGAACGAACGAACGGAAATGAACAGAACAGAACAGTCATGATGCGTCTACGGCGGTAACACCTTGCCAGTAGACTGACTCGTGGGATTGACGCAGCGGTTAGAGAGAGAGAGAGCCGGGCAATGTACACAACGGATTTATAATAAAGAAAAGAAAAAGTACAAGTTGTTGTTCTTCGTCACCTTTTGGCTGGCTACCCGACCCTCCGCTGAAAAGCGAGCTACTACCATTTTGGGGCTACAGCTGGGCCCCTGTCCGTCTTTTCACTACACTGTTGAGACTAGCACACGAATGGTTGTGTAATATGGCCACGTGTGCAATACCCGGGCAGTGACATGAGGTTTGTGTATATGGCAAGGTGTTTAGGGGTTGTCAGCTTCACAGACGGCGCCCCCGCCAATTGAACAGCAGGTGGCGTCCCTGCCAGTTGAACACCAGGTGGCATCCCTGCGAGTTGAACACCAGGTGGCACCCCTGCCAAGTGAACACCAGGTGGTGCCCCTGCCAAGCGAATACCAGGTGGCGCCCCTGCCAAGTGATCAGCAGATGGCCTTATTCGTGAAAATTTAAACAAAATGGTTTTTTTATGGGAGCAGCCTTTTCATTGGTAGATGATTAAAATCCATGAACAAGTTTTACGTCTTTCCCAATGAAAATGCGAAATTGGTAACGTATTTTAGTTTAAGTTTTCGTGAATAAGGTCCCGGGTTCAATTCAGCCCATGGTGGGATTCCAACAGGGGACAAACTAATTGAGAGTCCAGCGGTTTACGCTCTTGACTTTTTATCACAAAGAGTATCCAGCTCCGTAGTTGTATGGGTGTATCCCGGGCAGTCCACATTAATACAGATTCACAGGGCAACGGCGAATCGACCACAGACTACAGATTACAAGATCCGTCTAAAGCTCGTGAGCACTTGTAAAAATATATGTCTGTTTAATATGTTTCGGTCTTGATGAAGTACGTCACTGGGTGTCTCAAGATCGATCTCGGTGTTAACAGAGACGATTCCCCAAGATTATCCAACCTGGTTTCCCTTGCGCAGGATTAGACGACAATTCGTGATACCATCTACACGGACATGTGGGCGTAAAGGAACCTTTGACAGTTGGAATTCGAAAAATGAGTAAGCCGTTGTGTCTACTCGTTCTGGTTGGACGAAATCCCGATGTCACGTGAACAATTTGAGTTAGAATTGGAAGAAGATGAGGCGGGGACGTATAAGCCCAGTTGTAGAGGACAAGCAAAAGCGTTTTATAGCTGAGGCGCTGGAAGTTGAACAAATAAAACGGGAAAAAAATGCTAAAACCGATGAGAAAAATGAAAATGTACCCTAATTAGGGAGGGCCCTAACGGCAGACAAAAGGGCCCCACGTCTGACAAAAGGGACCCTCTGGCCAAGCAAAAGGGCCCCCGAGTCCGAGTCAATCGTTTTCTATACACAGTTACTGGAGGATATGTCAGAATGCACCAAAATGTTTTCTATTTTTCAAAATTTCTCGATCTCCGGTGGGCGGGGGCACAGACCCCTCCTCCCCCGCGAAAGAGGGCCCTCAAAATAGTATAGCCTCCTCCATGATGATAAACCTTAAAACGCCACCGAGGACAAGTAGGGCGCTAAACTCCATTTCATTTCATTTCTACAGTCCTGGTCATCGTTTATTTTGATCATTTCACATAGGTGACAGGCATTTTACAAAACATGGTATCTGTGGTTGGTTGTTATGGATGCTCAAACTAGTGCTACATCAATAAATAGAGAATTATTATTCTGTAAAATATTTAAACATATGTGACAGCGCGTAAAGTTTTTCTAAACTGTCATGGATAGGAATTTTTATGGGAATTGGCTCAGGGATAGGAATTGGCTTAGAGATAGGAATTGCCTCAGGGATAGGAATTGGCTTAGAGATAGGAATTGCCTCAGGGATAGGAATTGCCTCAGGGATAGGAATTGGCTCGGGGATAAGAATTGGCTCGGGGTTTGATTTAGCTCGGCTCAGGAATAGGATTTTGACCAGGAGTAGAAATTATTTCTGTTTAACTTTACACGCGTGGAATGATTATGTACCTTGCCACCATAACCACGGTGCATATTATTTTTCCCGTTTGTCATTAAATAAGACATAACCCCTGCTACAAATACGAACTTCTTCTTAAAGCACGAGTTACCTCCCTGGATATGATCGTGGTAATAAAATCAGTGCACTGTTTAAATGGATGAGATTAGCGCTAATCCCCTGTAATAGGGACCATCATTCCACACAACCAATTCCATCACATCGTCAACTTTTCTACCCATTCCATTATCACCCCTCTACCCCCCCCCCCCCCACACACCCACACCCACCCACGCCCACACATATTTCAAATCGATTCACTCTCTCGGTTCCTTCTTCCTTTCATTCGCAAAACGCCTTCCCTTTTATTTATTTTTTCCGCCTTTCCCGCATTAATTTCTTTATATTTTGTTCAATTTGCCGTGAATTTATAGGTCGCTTCATTCCATTGCTAGTCCATCGGGATGTATAGTTAGATTTATATAACCCACAGAGTAAGACAGATATGGTTAAACGGTTTTTTTATTTCTAGAACCATTGGTTGATTTACATTTTATAATTTAAAAAACACGTGTATATAAAATAATAAGAAGAAACATCTGCATTCTAACCGAATAAAAAATATCGATATTTGAAATAGGTTTCATTTTAATTTGATTTTAGGTACTGTCGTATTATTTGAATCAGAAATTGGGTTGATCATGAAAATACGTAAATAACTGAAATGTGTGAAATAAAACGAGAGATCGTTCTAATGGGAACGAGAATTCAATTTAATGGTAGTATCCGCTGTTTGGTTGAAGAATGTTTGCTTAGTCTGTTTAAAATCGTCTTCCACGCCCCCGTAAAATCTGAAAACATAAAATACAAAGATGATGATTTATTGAGATGCTTGAGAGAGAAAGACAGACGACAATAGGACAACTGAACTAAAACTAAATATAACCAAAATTGAATTTAAACCGGAGACAAAAATTCTTGATTCGAAATTCACATGAACGCCTCATTTTGATTACATCACTAAACGCACCACCAAAACCGTGGATATGAACGCAACCACAACCCATGCTATTTCATACACAAGCCTGTCGTTACCAGAATTAAACAAGTCTTGTATGTTAAATGTCAAGTTAAAGGGCGAATCCCCGGATAAAATAAATATATAGGAATTGTGTGATCTCTAGACGATATTAAATATGTATTTAGTCATTGTTGATTGTATTTCGTCTGAAAACTGGTGGTTATTATTAACAACTCCAGACAGAATATTAAACACATTAAAGGCTAACCACCTTTTAATATAACCATATTTAAATCTTTTAATATAACCATCTTTTAATGCAATGGTAACGATATTTTAATATAATGATATTTTAATGTAACGATATTTTAATACAACTGGATATAGACAATATCATGTCAGGCTGGAATAAGGTTTAACGTTCTACTGTTCTTCAACGACTGGGCTATCGTACAGTGTGCTATGGGGACAATTTGCCAGGACAACGGAGCTACGGCCTACTGTCATTTCGAATTCCATCTGTCAAGGGTTCTTTTTCCTGCTCGCCAATTTGTACGCGGGAGATCGGTACTAGACCTTGCTCCTTAGCCTCCTTGTCAGGTCCTCCATCCTGCACAAGGGGAAACCAAGCCGGCAAATCCCGAGGAACACCGGGATCGAACCCGGCACCTACAGGATAGCAAGCCAGCGCCTTACCCACTGAGCCACTGTGGATTTCTGTGGCAGACTGATTGATCATTGTGTCTGGGCCATGTTTAAAAAACACTAACTAAATGTTTTCGTGCCGAATTTACCAATAGGCTTTCCAGGCTCAAGTCTAAATACTCGGGATTTAGCTATAGGTTTTACAGGCTGAAGTCTAGTGACTACGGCCAAGATGGCATGGTCATCAGGTTAGTTCAGTTGTGTTTAAAACACACTTTCGTCATTTTTTTTAGAAACCGCTCTATGTGTTTGAAATCAGGGGGGTTGGATGCGTGTTGTATCATAAGGCCTCTCATTGAGTCAACTGGCGTGGTTTCGAATCCACGGTTGTACGTGACAAGGAGTAGGGTCGCCTGTCCAACCTCGTGGGTTTTCTCCGGGTCCTCCGGTTTCCTCTCACTGCTAAAGACCCATAAAATAGAACCATATGTTAGTCCCGAAATGACTTAGTTTGTGTCGAGTGGACGTTAAACCCCATTTCTCTCTCTCTCTTTGTTTGAAATCAGATCATCTAAAATAAAATCTTACATATCACACCAGCAATCCCTTAAACCCCTTCTTTTTGGCACAGATAATCAGACTACAACTAATAACATCTTTAAAATAGAACATGAATACTTTGATGTCACCAGACGTTTCAATATTTGATTTTAATTTCTTAACAGTTTTAAATCATGTTATAAAATAGCACATCTTCTTTCATTTGTTATAAATGGTGCGTATATGATTTATCCCCATTATTTTATAATATTTACATAGTAGATCTATATATTATATGGCTATGCCTATTATCTGAACCATTTTCATCCATTTGAAATAAAATCCAATGTTTTAACAAAATGTAAGCATGGGCAGACCACCGAATCTAATATTTCCTAATAAACGTCATAGAATCAATTTTCTTACTAGCGAGAATAAGTGAGTATTGTGACTGGTTAACGTGATGTAGTTGATAGTCTCGATTACGTGATAGACACGATACTAAGTCTCTGTTGATTGCTATGTTTCAATGATATTTTTCATGTTAAAGACGCGTGTGACTAACAGTAATTGATAAACGTCACAGATGTGAACGGGATAGTGTCGATGAATAATAGTTGTTATTATATTCATGAGGTGGGACTTGTAAATATATATATATATATATCTAGCAACCCGAACATAGTTAGCGTTATGTTTAAACTAAATGGGTGGTAATCATATTGATATGCATGGAATAATATACTAGCATGTACCATAATAAGGTATAAGTTAAAGGAGCCAAATCGCTAATATTTGGTACCTAAAAATTGACACAAATGGGTCGCAATAAATCTATATAAACTGATTTACATTCAATCGTTTCCATTTATACTCTTATTTCAAATCAGTTGTGTTCGGCGAAATAGGTCAAAAGTCCCAATCGAATGGCAATCTCTAGCGTCTGGTTATTCCAGTCTACACCGATAGTATTTATTGAACATGCTCTCCAGATAAGAATATGGGTCACCGTTTGACATGACTTGTGGAATATGTCTAGCCTCATTCTTCGAGTCCCTTGTTACAAATGGTGCTGAAACGCATTATGGTACACGATTCGTGTACTAATGGCCAAATGTGTATTTTGTTTTAAATATCGGATATCAGAATCCCGTCTTTTCCCGGTATGATCACAACATCAATGTTGATTTAAATTGACAAATAATTTGTGTTTTCAATGTCGAAAACTTTGAATGATATTGAGTTAGAGACTTAGCTACTTTAAGACTATTTTGAATATGATAGGGAGGGAGAGAGAAATGGGATTTAACGCCCACTCGACACAAACCATGTCAATTGGGGACCGAGGGAAACCCCACTATGTTAGGCTGGCGACCAATCTCCTTGTCACGCCACTTGATTCAATGACAGTGGAGGCCCACCGTAGACAAACATTAATGGAAATGGCCTCTTGACTCTGATTATCGCGGTATAGAATCCAAGCGTGGTTCGATGGAAATGTTGGGATGGTTCAAGCGTGGGTCGATGGGAATGTTGGGATGGTTCAAGCGTGGTTCGATGGGAATGTTGGGATGGTTCAAGATAACTTGTTATCTTTGATTTATATTTCTCCCACAAAACACTTGGCCTACTGATGTGGGGTAACAGATTGCTGAAAATATAGCCAATTTCAGAAAATAACAATGATATCATTTCACTTTACATTCGTGGTACCAAAACGATACACGATACTTCGTGATTGTTTGACGTATCCGCCATCTTGTATCAAGTATACCTTTCAGGTCCCGGATGTTCCACGAACTGACGTCACATTTTCTCCCTAAAATTTATCGCAGGCGGTAATATCGGTTGTTATGCGGAGACTTTGGTCTTCAGGCATCTTTGTCCCAAACCCACCCAGAGCGGGACGAAGACTGTGTAGGCCCCATGGACTACGGAAACTGTGAATCCCCCCCCCCTCTTCCGAAAGGTATTTGCGTGTTTTGAATGTAGGAAGTTTGTACCCACCGGCCGTGCCTAATATACATTGATGTTATTGTAAGTAAATTTACTACGACTATATATATAGAATATATTAATTGCTCCCCTCTTTAAATAGATAATTTAGAGTACTTTGGTTTTGCATCTATAAATGATATAACCTTCCCTAAATCTTAGGAGGCCAGCCAGCTGACTGGGACCCCTGATCTGCAACCCTAAAATCCATGCTTCAATACGACCATGAATCGATTCTGGGGTATATCGAGGTTGAAAGGGTAGTTTTAACCCTAGATGTTTCATACTTACACCAAGTGAAGGTGTACAGTTCCTAATAACGGGGTTAAAGGTGAAACCAGGACGACAAAGCTGTCTTTTATTCGGGGTTCGGAATAGTTGATCCCAGAAAGCCTGTTCTTCAGGTATCATATCGTCATCTTCAGTACGAGCTGCTGGTAACGTCACTGAAAAATAAAAATAGAATACAAATGTCCATTAATTCATATCAGCTAAATTCCTAATATTTGGCAACTAGAAATGGACTCAAATGGATCGCAAACATAATAATGTTATATAAGTGTATATAAACTGATTTACATTCAATTGTTTCTGTTTTTACTGTAATATCTAATTAAGTTATGTACGGCGAAATACGCCAGAAGTTTCAATCGAATGGCAATCTCTATCGTCTGGTTGTTCCAGTCTAAACCGATAGTACTTATTGCGCATGCTAGCAGATTAGAATATTGTGTCACCGTTTGACATGACTTGTGGAATATGTCTAGCCGCGTTCTTTGCGTGCCTTGTTATAAATGGCGCTGAAACGTATTATGGTACACGATTCGTGTTTATTATGTCTTAAATATTGGATATCAGAAGTCCAACTTTTCCCGGTAAGATCACAAAATCAATGTTGATTTAAATTGACAAATAATTCGTGTTTTCAATGTGGAAGACCTTGGATGATATTGAGTTATTGAGTTAGCTACTTTAATTATCTTAACTTTTATTTTATTTTTCCCATCAGATCGCCAACCACAAAGGTATATTAATCATCTGATGACGTGAATATTTACACGTTTATACCTAAATAACTTCAAGTTCTTAAAGTTATCGCCAACAAGACTCCAAAAACTTTTAACTATACACCTGGCCGAACATTACGTACGTCAGATAAACTACTTTTAAAGCCCAAACTGTTCAACTAGTCTCTTATGGTCAGCGCTCTTTTAGTTATCAAGCACCTGTTTTATGGAATAATCTACCATTTAGTTTAAGATGTTGTACATCTCTATATTCTTTTAAAAAACAACTTAAAACACATTTAATTAATCAGGCTTTTAACTGACTCTGTATACAATCGTTAACATGTCCATAATCTTGGGGGGGGGGGGGGGGTTATGATTACATTGTCACTTTGTAAATTAGAAATGTTATAATTAATAATATTACAGGTATATATAACCATATATTTTTAATATCGAAGAATACAGATCTTTGTTCTAATTTCCCTTCAGACGAATAATACTAGAAATGTAGGTGATAAAATAATCTGTCAATATGTTCCAATAATAAGAGCAGGAAAACCATTGCGTGATCCATGGCGAAACGAGAGCATCTGTTAGGTGTTCTAGGAACTCCTTGGGTTAGACATGCAATAATGTTTTATTGATCTTGAGGCTACTGAGTCTTGTCGATTGCGCCATTTCATTAACCAGGCGCCCCGGCCGGGTTCGATTCTGGTGTTGGCCGAGAAATTACATCTGCAAGTCTGGCTATCCCTTGTTCAGTTATTCGGCTGGTACGAAAAGCCCGAAGTCATCTGTATATATACTGTCGGCAGCACGTTAAAGTTCCCGGACAATTGAAAATCGAAATAAGAACAGATCGTAGAGCCACTTTCCGGGCAAAATGTCCCTCATAGCACACAGTATGGCCTACTTCTGTTTTCCACAGCCCCGTCGTTGAACAAAGGGCACGACGTTAAACACCATTTGATTTGATTTAATCAGATAAAACTAATAAAAAACATGGCCTAAGGTCGAAAAGTCGGAAAACGGAACCAAACGCCTTCCCGAGAATAGTAGGATCGCCAGTCCAACCTTATGGTTTTCTCCGGGTTCCTCCCACTGATAAATACCCGTACGCGCCTGTGAAGTTTTGAATAAAATGACCTAATCTGTGTCGAAGCCCACCCCCACCCCCACCCCCGCAGAATAATAAAAGCCACAAATAGTTATCAACCAGCTGTAATGAACTAAATTTGTTTTTTCTAATTAAATGTTGTATATTTAAGTTTGAGTCAATTTTAGCGTTGATAGAAAAATTAGATATTGTTCCAAACGTAGTTTGTTTTGTCTTTGAAGAAACCTTGTCACTCTCTCCATCATGAAAATAAACATAATCTACAGTGGGTAAAATCAATCGACATTCTGAGCACTAATTCACTTCCTTGCATTCTTTTGAAAACAACAAATTACTGTGGGTGACCGAACTAGCATGGTTTTCATTCACGGCTTTAATGTGACAAGGAGTAGGGTAAATCTCCGGGTACTCCGATTTCCTCCAACTGCTAAAGAACCCTACGCGTAAGCGACCTGTTGAAATAAAATTGAATCATATGTTAGTCCCGAAAGACCTAGTTTGATTCGAGTGCACGATAGCCCCTCCCCTCTCTCTCTCTCTCTCTCTCTCTCTCTCCGTCTCTACGGCAGTTTGTCAAGCTCGTACATGCAGTCAGTGATGGCTTGTCGAGCGCCATCTAATTTAAATATCCCCATTATAACTGTTTCAGTAACAAAGATAATTATGTTTTCACTACGATGCGATGACACCTAAAAAACTAAAGGCTGTTTAAGATATTATTTCTTTTATTTAATTAGTTGATGCACAACACCTGAATTACTGTCGACATTAATGAGTATAAAGAAAGTTATAAGGAGTTTATCTGGACGTGAAATTACAAGTAAGAGAAGAAACACTGCAACACCAAATCTTATTAAATATATACACTCAATCTGTTTTACAGAGTATTATGAAAGTCTTCTAATATCTCTGTAAAAGATGACTGCCTTCAACACATGGCGTCATATCACGCGGCGTCAATCATTGGCTCAATGGCGCGTGCATTGTTACTGATTCGAGCAGAATGGCGCCTTTTACTCATTTTAATACCCATTTACACTAAAACAGGAAATATTTTACTTACAAATACTTCAAACGTCTTTATTTATTTTTTCTGAATTTACTCTGTCGGATGAAAAAAGTTAATATTTGGGGCTCATTAAGTCGCATCGTTGTCATCCTTATCAGTGATTGTCGCGGCCTAGCGAATATTCACTGCGGATCAGTGTGATACACACTCACAACATTATTCTAACTTATGTTTATGGCCATTTAGATTTTACATTCATTCCTAGTATTTTACACCGCCATCTTTATGTGTGGTAGATCCAAAAGTAATAAGAATTCTTCTACATTTTTGGTACAAGCCACCTCGTGTAGTTTTTGTTGTGCCTATTTGATTGTAATATGGGAGCCCAATTTAGGGTGACCACCCGTCCCGCGAAATGTTTCTAAGTCCCGCGTCCCGAAAACCAGCCAAAATGTTCCGCAATAGCTCACATGGAAGACTTCTATTACAGTAATATGCGTGAATCTAGTCTCGCGATAGTCTATTTGAGTATTGGTCTGGTCAAAATACTGACAGACCTACCACAAATTGCTTTAGAAGGTTTTTTGGTACCAAGTTGTAGATATAGATGACCTTTCCATGTGCATCATACTGAAAATCCACCGGCATGGTTCCCCCTTGCCACTGGTGCAGGACAACGTATACTCATTCGGATGAGACATAAAAGAATTCTTGGCAGCTGGATTAGCGCTGGTCTCGGGCAGAATTTCCATTATCTATAGGGCACGATATGGCGTATGCCTGTCTTCTTTAGCCCAGTCGGACGTTAAACCCCATTTCGTTTACCTTTAACTCAAAGAAATAAATGTTTTAATGTTATAAACATAAGAAATGGAAAATATTGCTCGCCGCCATGACAAAAATCAACGAATATAATTTATATAACAATGACACTCATACCCTTCTCTTGCACTACAACTACAACAACTACCCGACAACACCATGACCGCCTCCATACTCCAAGAAAATAAAACTAAATAAATATTTTTAATCCACATCTTATGTTAAAAAAAAATATTGTAAAATCTCAACTACAGTAGAAATCTCAGTTCTAAGACAAAACATTTTCTAAAATCTCCAGCTATTCACTTACATTGCAACTTGGAAAACGTACTTTTTCGTATGCTGGGCCTTTATTATAGAACTAGCAGGATACCCGGCTTCGCTCGGGGGGTCATAACTCCGAAACCGGAAGTGGTAGACTAACGCCACCTGGCCTATGTTACTCCCCAGTGCGAGCTACCCCTATACCCCAAATTTCAGACTCGGGGCAGACCTAGTGTAGCCGCCAACCCCGAACAGACAGACTTCGCTCGGGGGTCATAACTCCGAAACCAAAACTGGTAGACTAACGCCACCTGGAGTATGTTACTCCCCGGTCCGAGCTACCCCTATACCCCAAATTTCACACTCGGGCTAGACCTAGTGTAGCCGCCAACTCCGAACAGACCGGCTTCGCTCGGGGGTCACAACTCCGAAACCGGAAGTGGTAGACTAACGCCACCTGGCCTATGTTACTCCCCGATCCGAGCTACCCCTATACCCCAAATTTCAGACTCCGGGCAGATGTAGCCGCCAACCCCGAACAGACAGAATTCGCTCGGGGGGCATAACTCCGAAACCGGAAGTGGTAGACTAACGCCACCTGGCCTATGCTACTCCCCGGTCCGAGCTACCCCTATACTCCAAATTTCAGACTCGGGGCAGACCTAGTGTAGCCGCCAACCCCGAACAGACCGGCTTAGCTCGGGGGTCATAACTCCGAAACCGGAAGTGATAGACTAACGCCACCTGGCCTATGTTACTCCCCGGTCCGAGCTAACCCTATACCCCAAAATTCAGACTCGGGGCAGACCTAGTGTAGCCGCCAACCCCGAACAGACAGACAGACAGACAGACAGACAGACAAACGACAGTCACAAATATATATATATACTATTCAAAAAAAGTAGGGGATATTTGATTTTGGGGGCATAATACTAAAATATGCAAATGACTACGAAAAAAGTCACTATAGAACCTAACAGAAGAAACATTTCCAGTTACATGTGACGCCCAAACGCACCAATAGCTACCGCATGGAATGCAGGTGATGCTTGGGATCATCATGGGGGTCCAACCCAAGATTTGCACGACTCTGACTTTGAATGTTACAGTCATTGTGGCATTGAATTCCAGGGTGGAAACATCAGTTTAATTGTTTTAGTGACCAGAAAACAAATTTTGATATGCGTCGGCTTACCCAAAATGAAAGGTTACGTGCCCTTGGCA